CTAAGAAGAGGTCAGCCCCAGAGCTCTCCTCGGGAGGCCAATACCCTCTTGAGTTGATGGCAGCTCCCTGGCTGACGGGTGCCGCCACCGAACCCCCACGCACACGCTGGGCAGCTTGGAAATCCTCCTGCTGCTGGTCGAGGTCATTCGAGACCTCCCGGGGCTCAACAATGGCACCCTCCTCTTCCTCTTCTTCCTCCTTCTCCTCCTCTTCATCCGAGGAGCCGAAGAGACTCTGATAGGAGCGTCGAGTCTCCTTCTCCTCGCGGAGTGGAGACTTAGAGGCGGTACGCTTCTTTGAGGGCTTGGCGCCTTCGGCTTTAGAGGCCTTAGCGCGCGCAAGACCCTCGGCAAGCGAGAGACGTTTGCGAGGACTCCCTTCCTCATCGCCACCGGCTTTGGGAGTGCCCTTAGCCTTAACGGCCGGACTCTCAGAGCGCACAGAGGTCCTGGGACTGTGATCACCGTGATCACTAGCGGACGACTGCACGCTGTCTTCTTTGTGCTCACTGGGCACTGGGCTGTGCCCTCCCACAGAGCCCGCAGGAGCATCATGAGTGCTCTCGAACTCGGCATCGTCCTCACTGCCCGAGTTGAACTCATGTTCTACGAACCGAGGGTTCGGACGATTGTCTGAAGACGAGGGCGACGGACTGCGGCGCCTGCTTGCGCGCTTGTCCGCAGCCGCGTCACCCGAGGATCCGATCGCCTCGGAGGCCACCTGAGTAGCCTCCTTGAGTGCAGAGCCTTTGCCGTGAGGCTTAGTGCTCTTGGCCTGCGCCTTACCGGCTGCAGCCTTGGAGCGTGTCTTAGCACCGCTCTTAGCAGTGCCACGAGGCATGTTAACGGTCGAAGTGGAGACCTTGACGAAGAGCGCACAGGTTGCTGCTCGAGGCTCTAACTGTAAAGTGAGCCTCCGCCGCGCTCGCGCGCCCGAGTCGATGGTTTTCGACTTTGAGAATGAGAGTTTGTGACGAACATCTCTTCATTCTGATTGGTCGGTAAACCGATCCTAAGTGGGGGAGGATGTAACGGGGTACGTAGCACTAAGAGTACCCTGGTTACATGAAGTGTGACACTTCACACTTCAGGAGTATGACATGTCATACTCCGGGATATTTGGTACAAGGTACCAAGGTCATTCAAAACCAACCATTGGTTAAATGACATTGCATTTCTATAGGTAACTGATAGTTTGTATTAACCACAAACTTAACCTACCTATAAATATACTCAGTTTACAATCTACCTTATTTAGGTCACTTCCCTCTCTTTAATTAAAGAGGGGACCTGTGAACTGCCGTTCACTGAGAGTTTGTATACTCTCGGAAGATAACTTCCTCTAGCGCAAGGTGCTGTGTGACCCCGTCACACTACTCAATTACAATGATCCAAAGGCGTGACCGTACTAAGCTAGCGCTTCTCCACCGTATGGTGTGCCCTACCTCGCTCAAAGAGCCCCCATCATCGTGGCTGAAAAGTTGACCGGAAGTGGTCGCCTAAGGCTTCGAGTTTTGAAAAATGACAGAATATGTAAAAATGAGTACTAGCATTCATTTATATCGGAAAAACGATGGGTCAAAGGGGTTTAGGCCTAAGCTAAAACCAGCTGTAATTGTTATTAAAGAGCTGGAATGTCTCAACCAGCTTTATTCCGCTAAGAAACACAAAAAATGACATCCAGCATGATATTGTACATATTTTCAAACAAGCTGGATTTGCCCCTGCAAACCGAACATGGCCTTAATTTTTTTATAGACCCACCACTTTACGATTTATGAGCACACGTATTGTGTCAATTTTTAACAATCGCATAACGTTATTTTGAATTTGACCGACAACAATGGCGACTGAAGTATCGCGGCTGCTCGTGCTCGGCACCGACAAAGACAGCAATGGCGCTGTGATCTCTAAGCTGCGTGCGCTATGCGGTGACGAGGGCGCAAACGCCGCCGCACCGGGCGTAATGCTGCTGAACCTCCAGACCAAATACTACCGAGCACTTGTGGAGCTGCATGTACACCATGTACGCGATAATTCGCCAGAGCCTGCGCTACAGCACGAGCTGCATGACTACGAGGCAATTATATGTGTCGTAGATGCCGGAAAACGCGAGAGCTTCCTGCACGTGCAGCAGTTTGCACAGCGTATCGTGGACACCCTGCCATACGACGTGTGTCTACTGGCTGCAAGTACGTCATCTGCTACTACAGAGAGCACGAAGAAGATGGAGACCTGGTGCCAAGATATCGGCTTCGAGTTCGTCGACCTAGATGCAGGGAATGCTACCAGTGAAGACAGCGTTATTGATGAAAAATTAGGCATAGAGCGCGTGCTGGAAGCCCTGCAATGCAATATGTGGAGATCCATGGAGATGAATCCTCCGAAGGTGGAGAGTGCAAAAGAGACGGAAGTGACGGAGGCAGCGGAGACAGACGAGAACCAGAAGAAGAATAAGGTGAATGAACAGGGCGATGCGACGGATGATACAAAGCTCCAGGCATTGCTACAAGCACTGGAGATCGCTGGTGACGGGACGGTACGTGGAGCTGCAGAGGAGAAAGGTGACGAGGATGACATCGATATGGCCCAATTCAGTGCGCTGATCTCGGAGGTTCGCAATGTACGCGACAAAGGCGAGTCCCTCACAGATGAGCAACGTCGTGAGCGTGCTGCGGAGGTGGCCATGAAGCTCTGGAACCTCCTTGGCGATGACAGCGATGGTGACGAAGATTAGGCTTATAATTGGTCAAAATAATGCAAAGAACTTTGAATAAGACGTTGTCATTGGTTGAAAGTGAAAATGAAGATACTCATTGGTGGCCGAAGCATTTCGAGACCATGGCTGACGCACAGAGTGAAGTGAACCTCGTGGATCTGTCGCTAGAGCAGCTCAATGCGCTCAAGGGCCAGCTAGAGAAGGAGACACAGCAGCTTACGGTGTCGTACGGAGGTCTACGTGAGGCCCAGTCGCGATTTACCGAGTCCAAGGAGGCGCTCAAGAGCATGGCGGCTGCTGACCTGAACAAGGAGGTGCTGGTGCCCCTCACGGCGTCCATGTTTGTTCCTGGCAAGCTGGCAAACAAAGAAGAAGTACTAGTGGACGTGGGTACCGGATACTTTGTGGAGCAGTCAGTTGAGAAGGCTGAGCAGTTCATGGACCGGAAAGTTGAGTTCTTGCAGAGCAACACGGAGCAGCTCAAGACGGTCATCGACGGCAAGCGTAACATGCTTGAGGCTGTGCTTATGATCATGCAACAGAAGATGCAGGAGGCGCAGCGCCAGTAGACGTCATACAGACCAGCGCATTACGATAAATAGCCCAGAAACAGAGTGTGTCCATCTTTGTCCTTCTCCAGCTCTATACTCAACAGCAATTGTACTCGCCGTCTATTTGTCATAAGCACAGCGCAACAACAACTTTTCATATTCCCAATCACCGCAACACTTGTGTAGGATATCATTATTAGGCATAATTCTCATGGCTAATGGCTGCTCTGCCGTCTTGGCTACAGGAGACTGTAATGCTGCATCTACAGTGACCCCGCGAGCGTCAATTACTGTTCTCTGTACCCACGAATGTCTTGTATTGCAGTCTGATATGATCCCACCCGCTATTGTCTTGAATATATCGCTGGAGTATCTTGTCTTGGCTACTTGGGTCGGTCAATAAATATGCACGAGTCCGTAGGAAAGCGTCCAGAAGAGGATGAAGGACAGCGCCTGGGACATGACCCCCGCGAAGATGAAGCTAAAGGCATTCGTGTTGAAGTAAACCTTGACGTCCATGCCGAGCTTGACGACCCAGATCGAGGCAGCGGTGAACACGTAGGCAGCAGCCAAGAAAACGAAGCCTTGCAAGCCCGTCATGCCTGTGATTCCCGCGATGCAGCCAGCAATGACGCACATGGATGTGTGCACGTACTCGACAGCCTTCTCGTTGTTCTTCATGTTCTCCATGGAGAAGAACTCCACCTTCTTGTCCTGCAGCGCCTCCATATTTCCTCAAAAGGGGATTGTCACTAAGTTCGGGTTAAATTCGGTTTGATGTATCTTACGTAAAATGAAATTGGCGGCCATTTTGAACATCCAAATACTGAGCCGTTTGAATTTGCTACGAAATTCAAACAGAGTGTAAACTTCCACCTTGGAGTCAAGAGCTCCTACAGTGTAGGTCGCCGCTTGCCTAACTTCACCAAGTCACTTTACTTGACTTACAGTTACGCTTGTGATCGCTCGAAAAGCTGGTATGCAACTGTGCAATTGACAATGGCTGTTTGTCGGCAACTGATGCCAGCGCTGTTGTTGCTGCAGATATGACAGGACAGATACGTTCGAAGGTGGCACCGCGTAGGTCGTGGCAGTCCGTGACAGGCTTGCTGCTCCATAGCCGTACGCTTCATAGTACGCTAGTGACGATGGAGCACCAGGACAACGTCGCTCGCTTGATCAGCGAGATGCCGCGTGCGCGTAGCCCTCGACGACGAACCCAAGAGATCCAGCACGCCCCACACGCTGCTCCAATGATAAAGCCTCTCGCTAAGCCGTTAGTGTTTAGGAAGACGAAGCGCGAACTAGAGAGAGAGCAGCAGCAAGCACAAGCACGAAAACGACTTGAGCGGATGGAGAGAGACCCGAGAGAGTATCAAACGTTCGCGCCCCAAGTGTGCACGTGTGTTGGAGTGGAGCTCTCGAAGGACATCGGATTCTCTTAAATCAAGACCTGCAGACCTGCACGCGCAGTCTCGTCGTCGACTGTTTTAAACTCACCGGCTTTGATGCGACCGAAGGATCCAAGTGCATTTCGTTTTGACGTTGAAGCACGTGAGCGCACGGGCTCACACAAACTTTGAAGTACGGAGCGCGAGACTGCCTCAGTAGTCACACGCATGCTCGATAATAATGACCGTACAATAAATTGAGAAACATTGCAGAACTATTTTTTTCTTTCGGGGGCAGATTCTGCATAATAGCTCACCCCTGTTGTCGAGCGTACTTCCAAGGATTGTCGAGATGTCGAAACTCGTCACTTGGTTGCGAACTTAACAGTACTAAGTTCGCATTTTCAGCAGAGAAGGCTTCCTATTGAGATCGCCAATATGGGGCTTGAAGAGCTGGTGGTGACAGGCGCGTACGTCTCTGGGGCAGTGTGCATCGTGCTGTTTACGCTGACTATCAGCTGGCTAGTGGTGTGGAAGTGCGTGCTGGCCAAGATGCCATTCATCCAGGAGCTTTTCGACTTGAAGCCCAAGAAGTCATCAGCACATGACGAAAAGTCCATCTCGTTCCAAGATCGATACCAAGCCTACAAACGGGTGTGTCTATGTATCTACGGCTTCAGTATCATCTCTACTAACACGGCAATTGATTCGTATCCTATTTTTTTTTATGTAGAAGCGGCATGCGACGAGAATTTCTTAGAGAGGAGGAGACCCGAGCAGCTAAGCATCACAGCCATCGCTCACGAATAAACTATTGACTTCATTTCCTTGTGTACTCTACCTCACAAGCCACTTGCCTCCTGCTCCTTCCGCAGTATCGTTGTTCTGTTGCAATTGACGTACCATTTCCAAGTACTCGTTGGAGCTTTCGCTTGAAGTGGGCAAGCGGTTGCCACCGGTACCGATTTGCACCTCCGCTGCCTTCCTCTTCTGCGCTGCTAAAGCCATCCTATCCTCCAGTGAGAGCATCGCCGATGCAGATTGCGCCTCTTTAGCTTCAGTCCGAGACTTGGCCAACGCTTCCTCTCGCTTTCTGCGGATCTCCTCATCGTCTCCTCCTGATTGGTTCGCGGCGCCGTATTTGCGCTCTGCTGTCTCTGGGTCCCATTCACGTAGTGCATCTAGTGTCGGCCTCTTCACTCGAGCCTGCAGCTCCGGCGGCAGCTCCCAATAGCTCCGTCCTAGCGCCATATTGAAATAATACGTTCGCTGAACACCAAGAATTGGAGGAGAGTATGTAGACAATTAGCACATTACGACGACGACAGTATACTGAGTCGTATATGGAGTAATCACACGGGCTTACCCCGCTCTTTGGGTCTACGTGTTCCGTCCAGAAGCCTGTCTTCTTGGGTGTCTCCATCTCTCGAGTTAGAAAAAAAGTGATTTGTTTATTGCGAACTTAAGCAGCAAACATGCGAACTTAGCGCGGTGGCGATGGCGGCGGTCCGCCGAAGTAGTTCCACACTGCTACCTGTCGGTCCCAGGAGCACGAAGCTACCAAACCATCTACGAAGAGACTGAAGTCGAAGCCGAACACGAATTCGCTGTGGTGCTGCGCGTTCTGGAGCCGTGGATATGGCGATTTGGTGTTCCAGACCCCGACCGACATGTCATACGACACCGAGGCGATCACGTCTGGATCATGCGGCGAGCACTTGATCCTCTTTACAGCGTAGCTGTGTCCTGGTAGCATCCTCACCTCACGCGTCGGATTTCGAATGTCCTGAAGTGATAATATAGCTATTAAATAGACACGTTACCACCGGAGTTCCGACAGGGGAGCGTACCCAGATCTTGATACTGCAATCAGCTGATCCAGAGACTACTTCGAACTGGTTATACTTGTTCCAGTCCAGAGCGAGCGCTTCGTTGCCATGAGCTGCGATGGTTGTAACGGAACGTGCACTGTTGAGGTCCCAGATCTTGACAGTGCCGTCTCCGGAGCACGATGCGATCAACGAGTTATTTTGCGTGTTCCACACTGCATTATACACTGCACTAGAGTGTTCTGCCAGCGTCAAGATCGAGTGGGCTATCTCGGGCGTCCAAACCTTCACTGTGCCGTCCCATGACGCCGATGCGAATGAGTCTTTCGAAACCAAGTTCCAATTCACCCCTGACACTTCCTGCTTATGCTCGTGATAGTTCTGGATCGGGAACTCATCACGTGTCTGCAAGTGCCAGAGCTTCACAGACCCATCAGCGCACGAGCTCACGAGCTGCTGTCCGTGGTTCTCGCTCCACGCACAATCGTAGACACCTTGCGGTGTGTCAAAAACTCGGATCTAGCAGATCAGCATCAATAAAATGGGATGTTCTCCTTATTTTTCACAATAATATCTCACTCACCGGTGCCAAACCTCCAGCTGGGAGCATCTCGTACACATGCTTTCGGCCATTGCCCACGATGCCGAAGTATTGCGCTGTTCCGACTGCCACCAAATTGTCCACAAACGGGCTGAACTCCACCTGAATAAGCAACAAATTTAGAGTGAGAAAGAGCGCCATCTCAAGCGCATAATTGCGCATTAGCGGTTGTATCGTGCGTACTGCGTAGCCGTGGAGTTCAGTCTGCGTCTGCCGCGGCTGGAGGAACATGTCGAATTGGTATCAGCGTCGACGCAAGCTCATCATGTAACTTGGTGTGGCGCACATAACTTCTATAAGCTCAAGTCATTTGCTGTAATAAAATATAAAATATTTTGAAAATTAGACCTGATGCTCAATAAGCTCAGTTCGAAAAAAAGAGAAGTATGGTGCGCCTAGCGCTCCAGCTCCTAGCGGTCACTACGGGGATACAAGCAGTCAAATGGTAATTTTCTTACTTGTATCAAGTTCTACGTCATTTTGGCCCTCTGTAGCCACCGTTTTTGTAGTGTATAGCTGCATACCGCCGATGTTACATCCATTCTAACGTCCTCATCGACTGGTTATCATAGCTTGGAGCTCTCTAACCAGCAACTGACGAACATCACTTCAAATGGAAGCAGCTTCACGTTCTATAGTGACGATGCACTCGTCACCACAGTGTCGGCATCCGCTCTGTCCCAGGAATCGCGTCTCCAACTGCAGAACAACTCACTAATCAGCATTCCCGCGGCACTTTTCCAAGCAGCCTATAACGTTACTTCCATGTGCGTTCCTACGCTGCTATGTGGTCTTTATTGTGGTGATCAGAGCTGTAATTACTCAAAAATTCATGCAGAGATATCTCCAACAACCCGTTGACCAAGCTGGACGCGGGATCTTTCGACAATATGCCGAACCTGCAGAGCATTTTGTACGTGTGTTTCTGGTTTAAATTATTGAAATATCTCTTCTTATATGTTACATTGATACAGCTGTACAAACACGAATGTTACAGTGCTACCAAACGGTCTTGTGAGCAACTGCCCGCTGCTGAACACCGTGTCATTCAACCAGAGCACTATTACTGACATCGAGACTCAAGCATTGACTAACTTGACCGCATTACACACACTGGATCTGAGCTACAATGAGCTCGAGAGCATTCCTAGTACAGTATTCACGGTATCTTCATCGTGGAAGGCTCTAGATTTCTCGCATAACGGTATTATGGAAGTGCCGTCTGGAATTCGACAAGCTGCTGCTGAAGGCTACATGTAAGCTGAGTATATTGAGGTGAAAGCTTCGTACTCGTCTGACTGAGTATTTTATGCTGCGAGTGCAGCTCCTTCAACTACAACGCATTGGTAGAGATCGAAGCGGGTGCTTTTGCTGACGCCTCGCAAATCTACGAACTCCGACTCGCATCCAACGCCATTTTCACTGTTCATTCTAGAGCATTTGCAGGGATGTCAGCGCTTCGAAACCTGTAAGTGAATTGTACTAATGTTTTATGTTTTTTTATTGAATTAGTAAAATATCTAACTTTTTTTATTAGGAATCTGAGCGACAACGTCATTTCCGTCATCGATGAAGACGCATTTGCAGATGTCAACGGGCTCCAGGAACTCCGCCTGGACTTCAATAACATTCATCGGCTGACACTGTCGTCTGTACCGACGAACTTGGAGCGCTTAGAGCTGCAAAACAACCTCATAGACCTCATGCCTGACTTCCCGGACGACTTCGAGGCATCGCATCTGGTCTATCTGTACGTACGGTGCTGCAGTGGTCGGACCTTTGTTTAACTGATGTAACATTTTATGCATATTCAGAAATATGAGCCGCAACTACTTGTGGTCCATTTCGACAAATGATGCGCTCACTCCATACACCAGCCTCGTGACCTTGTAAGCCGTGCTTGCATTATTTCTTAAACATTTTATTGTTGTTTACTAATGACATTTGCATGGAATGCTACAGAGATCTAAGTAACAACCGCTTGGTCAGCTTCAGTGCCGCTGTGTTCGACCCCATCATGTCGACTATCGAGTCAATGTACGTAACAATTGTAACTTTCTAGTAACATATTGAAAACTTATCTTTCTCCACGTAAAGGAACTTCGACTCCAACCTCATCACGTCCATTCCCAGCACCAACTTCATCGCATTAGTAAAAAAGCTCCTCACTAACGTGTACGTAAATGTTTTATTTTTTCTCTACCACGTTTTTTGTCACTAATGGTGTTGATTGCAGCACGCTACTAAATAATCCTGGTATTGGCTGGTTTGCTGACGTGGATATGCGCAACGACTGTCCCAAAGGCAGTGTCTTCGAAGAGCTCTCTCTGTCTTCAGACTCTACCTCAGCTGGTAGCGTGGATCTCTACGGCTGTATCCAGTGTGTCGCAGGCACGTTCCACGACAACTCAAGTGGCAGCTGTGTGGCGTGTACGGAAGTCTGTTCCCGTGCGTATTCGGAACAAGACGGCGCCATTGGGTGTCTGTATTGCCCGTACTCGTCCGACTTGGAGCCCGATCGTACCGAGTGCAGAGACTTTGAGTGTAACACTTTATGTTGGCTTACCTTGTCCATGGGGATCGCGATCCCAGGGATCATTTTCAGTAGTAAATTACTGCTCTATCTCATCATGAAGAGCTCGAAACGAACGCGTAAAATGGACATCAAGGAGCAAGAAGCCATGAATGATTGGCGTATGGGTCTCATGATGCACCAACTGGCTGAGCCAATCAGTCCAAGTGACTCGTTATTGGACGATGAGCTCGACGAAGAAGCCTCGGATCGTGGAGAAACCCCGTTCCGTATCTATGACCTTCCGGAAGAAACCAAAGACTTGGTACTAAGTACGTTGCGGGATTATTTCCAGATCCGCAAGGAGAAGCGATGGCAAGCGCTTCCTGTGGACGAACAAGAAGCCACAAGGGAATGGCAGGAGGTCGAGTGGGAAACGTTCCACATGCATCGTATTCTCAGTCGCAGCTATCATGGCGAAGTGTTTCTAGGGGATTACTGTGGGACGCAGGTGGTTGTCAAGCGTATGATGACGTTACGGTTCGAAGTCAAGGAGCTGGCAGATACGATCAAAGACGTCGAGTTAGTGGGCTCTCTGCATCATCCGAATATCGTCACGTGTCTCGGGACCATGTGGTCGGATCCGGAACATTTGTGTGTCATTTCGGAATATGTCAAAGGTGGAGACTTGACTGTAGTACTGGAAGTTGACGGCTTGGATCGACCCAATCGAAACAATTCATCGCTATCCCTTCTGTCAGCGTCTTCAGCTGATAGCGATCGGAAGCGCTCGATCTTCGCTGCTAACGGGATGTCCAAGACATCGTTGACAACGCGGTTCCAAATGGCTCTGGATATCTGTAAAGCTCTCGTGTATATGCACAACAAAGGCGTCTCTCATAGTGATCTACGTAGTCGAAATGTGATGGTGACGGAGCTGTTTCATTGCAAACTTGGCGACGTGCGTCATCACTGTCGGGACGATACCCACCATGCCACATTTGTGCTGCTAGTGGAAAGCACAGCACAGCAAAGTTCAGACTCGGAGGAAGAGGGTGAAGACGTTCGCTTCCTTCAACCGGAGAGCAGAAACTCGCAAGATAAAGGCCCGACGCTACCGCTAGTCGCCCCTGAAGTGCTGCACCACAACTCGAGACATCTCCACGCTGACATTTACAGTGTTGGTATTTTACTTCTGGAACTTTGGTTCCACGCTCATATTTTCTTCCAGAACGACCGACCGAATAACGAGTTCGAAGTCCGGAATCAAACCAAGAATCTGCGCCTTAGTATTGATGATCGAGACGGGGCAAAGAAGCGCTTTCAAGTCGCTACGCTACCCAGAACAGCGAGTGCTCTGCAGAAGAATAAGGAGCATAATGCTGCCATGCATCACTTTATGAGCAAGTTACGCATGTTAGCGAACATCGGAGGCACCGACGTAGAAGGGGACAAAAGTAGTTTCGGCACGACGTCAACGACTTCTGCTGCGTCGCTAACTGTATCGCTATCATCTTCAAGCGCCATAGTCGACAAACTGTCGAAAGCGATTGAAGATTGTCTCCAAAGCGACCCGAAAAAGCGACCAACTGCCAAGAAACTCGTGGATCTGTTTCAATACTTCCTCAAGGAGATAAACGCAGCATAACCGAGGAATAGAGAGGTGTAGCATGTTCATTTATTTACACCAGACTATCACTTTAATGTTATGCTGCTGCAGTGTTTGACAATCAGATACACAAGGCATGTCCCCGCTTGGGACGGGCGATGATGTCTGAGATATTTACTTACTGTCGGGCTCGATGTTCACTTTCGATTTCGCCTCGAACCTCCGAGAAGCTTCAAGAAGTTTCAAAACTCTTCAAAGCTTTTTTTTTTTTTACCAGAACGCTTCAGTTCCAAAAGAGATTCGTCGCACGCAGTCTACTTACTCCGCAAGATGTCGTTCTGGCCGTGTAACTCGTCGAGTAATGAAGGCTTGGTCAGTAACTTGAAGCGTACGAATGTCGTCCGCTCCGACGCGGTGTTCAACGCGATGGTCAAGACAGACCGTGCCAAGTATTTGGCACAGATTGAGACTCCGGATGGAGGACATGTGGGGGAATTGGCAGCGTACCAAGACGTGCCTCACCCTATCGGCTTCCACCAGACTATTTCAGCGCCACATATGCATGCCCACGCGATGGAACTGGGCTATGCAGCGATCAAGGACGTACGTCATCCACGGATTCTCGACGTTGGGGCTGGTTCGGGGTATCTAACAGCGTGTCTTGGTCGGATGGTGGAAGACAATGGACACGTCTTCGGACTGGAGATCGTTCCTGGACTCGCGCAGTTCGCTAAGAAGAACATCCAGACAGCTGACGGAGACTTAGTCGACCGAGGTGTCGTGTCTGTGCGCTGCCACAATGGGTGGGACGGTCTTCCGAACGAAGCTCCGTTCCACTACATCCACGTCGGAGCTGCTGCTGAATCTCCGCCTCAGGCTTTGATGGACCAACTCGCAGACGGCGGACGCATGGTGCTGCCTGTGGACGAACCTCGCGGTGGCCAAGTATTAGTGGAGATCACAAGACATGGTACCAACTTCTCACAACGTCGATTGTTCGGCGTGTGCTACGTGCCACTCGTCCGCGAACGTGAACGCAAGCTCAGCTGAGAACAAGTTGAAGTTCTAGTACCGTAGTTTGAAAAAGTTTTGACCTTCATTACTGCATACCTCAAAAAGAATCAACCACAACTTCAACTTGAGAGTTTCATTCTAATCTCTTGTTTTAATCATGCGTATCTTAGGAGAGAAACGCAACTCAGCGGCATTTTTTAATCGTCCTCGTATATTTAAGGAGGCGGTCACTCCTTACCTTAGTTTGCCATTGCCAAAAACCCGTGCTACTAGCAAAAGTTGTGAAGCTCCCATTATTCCCGTTGAAAGAGAGATCATTGGAGTAATGTTACCGCGTTGGGCGTGCAACTCGGCAAATAACGATGGACTAGTTTTGAACCTGCAAAAAACCGGTATTATACGTTCCACCGCTGTATTCGACGCCATGAAACGCACAGATCGCGCTCTGTTCGTCCCTCCATTTGTACAGGATGGATCATACCAAGACTCACCATGCCCCATCAGCTTCAACCAGACCATATCAGCTCCACACATGGTAAGCTAAGCTACTTATTCCAAGGTTGAAATGTTAAAGTTGACCGTAGTTGTGTCTGTAGCACGCTCACGTATTGGAACTTGCTCACGCCACTTGTACTGACGTGCTCAAGCCTCAAGTACTGGACGTAGGTGCTGGGTCTGGTTACCTGACGGCTGCACTAGCTCATCTTGTAGAAGGCGCTGGTGGTCGCGTATTTGGACTCGAGCTGCTGCCTGGGCTAGCTCAATCTGCTCGTAAGAACGAGTTGAGCGCGGCCCCTGACCTCATCAAGACTGGTGTGCTGTCGTTACAGTGCAATAACGGCTGGTTTGGACTGCCAGCTGAAGCTCCTTTCAACTTCATTTTCGTCGGCGCTGCCGTCTCCTCCCCTCCGCAAGCGTTGATGGACCAGATAGCCGATGGTGGACAGCTTGTAATCCCTGTGGACGACCCACGTGGAGGCCAAGCTCTCGTAAGCGTCACACGACGTGGCTCCAGTTTCATCCACCGTAAACTCATGCCGGCTTGCTTCGTCCCGCTCGCTCGACAAGAAATTCACAACAAGCGACGTGGAGTCACTACACCTTTGCCAATCCTAACTAGACGCAAAAGTGTACCCCTTTCGATAAATCAAAGCTTAAAAAAAGTCGAGGTTTTTTTCTTCTGTCACACTGTGCGATTGTTTTAGGACGTCAATATTCTATTATCAGATTTAATCAGATGCAGTAATTGTATTAAAATATAGCTGGAAATCCTTTGAAATATATCTTTACTTACCAAGATACTCCAGGTTTAATACCTGGAATAGTCACGTGAGCACAACTTCGCCAGCTTCTCTTGCTGGGCCTCTGTCACATGTGCTAGCCAAAATACCTGGCCAATACCTGGTCATGATGAAGAGCACAATCGCTCTTCATCATGACCAGGTATTGGCCAGGTTGTATGCAGAAATGGAGTCATACCAGTGGACATACATCTGCACGCGTGGATGGCATCCTCGAGAGAGATCAGCGGGGAAAAGACCTACACATCGTGTGGGTCGTACATACTGCCCGTGTCAGTTGCTGGCCCAAGTAGCACGCCGTGAGGATGGCAAGTGAGGCATCAGTATCAACCGCGAAGTCTACAGCCACAACCATGGTGTGACAGCGAAAAGCTACAGTAATTACCCAGGAGATATCGGAAGCATCAACGTTAATACCAGGTATTTGGAATAGTGTGCTAGTGCGTTTAGCTTGTACAGTTACACTCATATGAATCCCAGCCACCAAGTTACACCAGCCGACGTGAGGAATCCCATAGCTCGTCTTCGGAAGAATGGTGCGTCAATGAATGAAATTGTATGTAATGCGTGGTGTGTACATGGACCCAGCTGTCAGACGACTATGCCGTTGCAGATATAAATAGGTTGTTTTTTATACATAAAAAAGAACATATATTAAACCGATTTTTTTGCTTATTTTTGCCGTCATGTTTTTTTTGGGTAATACTCGTTGTTACCCCTGCTTGCATTTCTGCTCCATCTCCAGCGCTGCTGCACCCAGTCTCAGCTCTTTAATCGTCGTCTACGTTGGGGAAGAGAATGTTGTCGTCGATGTCCAAAGGAGTTGACTCTAAAGACAAAGCAGCCTCTAAGATTTCTTGTTCCATCAACTCCGCTTCAGTTAGAACTTCGGCAATACCTTCTTCGGCGCCTGCTGTTTCGACCTCGTCGGCTGGTTCACGAGCTTCTCCACTGTCAAGACGTGCATCCCCACCTCCACTTTGTAGACCCGCCTTCATCACAAAGTCCGAGACCATGTGCTGCTCAAAACGTTGTCGTTGTAGAGGTGCCTCCATCGTCGCGACGGCAGCGTTGTGAGCTACGGCAGCCTGCTCCTCGACCAACCCCGCTCTAAGACGGTTTCTCGCAGAAGAGTGGATACGCTTCCCCACCTTATGCTGACGCTCTACACCAGCCGTCGATGCTGGAGACGTGTAGACCTTCACTAACAATTCCGCCAGACCAGGAAATTTGCTTCGTCCTTGCGTCCAGATCTTTTGCGGGGGGAACTGGGTAATGCTGCTCCACTCAGAAGCAATCTCAGCTTCGGTGGTGCAAAACCGGAGGAAGTCATCAAGAGCTCGACGCTTCTGGTCTTGGTCTTCACGGCATACTAGTTCAATTGCAAAACGGCATTGAGCACAGATATCCCCTTTGCCAAGCTCAATAGGATCTTGTCCGTACAGCTTTGCGACAGCCAAACGAAAAGGATGATAAAACGGGTCGCAGTAGAATGCCAATGCGTGACCTGGGCTCTGAATGCGATTCCATCTGTGGATCAACTTCGTGAGCAGGGCGTCGCCAGGGAAAGTTTCCCGTGCATGGATGAATACATACACAAAACAAGCGTACGCAGTGGACATTGTGGCTGAGTTGCTCTCCATGACGCCGATGCATTTGCAAATGGGATCGAACACTTTGACGTGCCACGATACGTACCCCAAAACTGCGGATCCATGACTATACTTGTAAACTCGCTTGGAAGTTGGTACGAGGGGTCAATGTTGCGCTCCACCTTTTCGTTCATCACAGCGGTCACAACCGCGGTCATCGGTCTCTTGACTTTTGCAAGACGCTGGAACATATAGTTTACACTGCTCCAACGCGATGCAGAGTACAACACCATTGTGTACTGCCGCTGAAGAAAATCGATGCACAGACTCGAAATTTTTTTGTTGAGTAAGCAAGTATTTTTCACAATCTTGCTCAGGTAGACAGCGTTGCGAACAAAAGCTTTTACCCCGGGATTCTTCACGATGTCCTCACAGAAATTGTTGAGCGCATGAGCTCCACATCCGTAAGCAAAGGCAACAGAATTGTGATCTTGCAACGACTTGCGAACAGCACTCATCAAGTTGCAACTATCCGATACGAAAGCGAACACAACTGGACGGTCGAGATAAGTGTGCATGCGAGTGATAGATTCTTCTACCTTCTTAGTCACCTCGGGCTCGCTCTCTTTCTTCAGATCGGCGCGCAAGTACTCGACAAACCATGGTCTTGGATCATGTGCAATGACATTGGACAAACTCCTCTATAGAACATTAGTCGCGCCGTCCACACCAAGCGTAACTGCGGGGGACTCGCGCAACGCTCGCGCCACATCCAGCATGACGTCGTTATAGCAACTTGAAAGGAGTGTCGTAGATAGCTCGGAGGAAGATGGAGGCGACCATGGGAGGTGAAGCAGATCGAAAAAGTTTTTCCAAGCAGTATGATCAAACATACCGAACTCTGCTCCACTTTCGTGCATCGCCCTTGCAAATGATCGATCCAGTGCATCACGCTCGTCCTTGCTATAGTGTGGATACACCTTTGCCTGCAGTTGCTGAGCCATAGATCGAAAAGCTTGGGCTCCTTCTGACTGACGCTCCAAATCCTCCACCAAAACGTTGTCTTCAAGTAGCATGCGCCCCCACCCACGCGATATCTTCTCGCAGTTGATGATATGGCGCTGCATATGTTTCACCATCGCAGACAGGGTCGTAGTGCAGTGATTACACTTCACTCGCCGAGTCTTATACTTCCCCTTGGGATGATCCTTGAAATGAGACCACACACCTTCTTTGCGTACCCGACCCATTGATTGAAGAATCGGAAATGCCCAACGCGAAAGGCAAGAACCGAAGGCACAACCAAGCTTGGTTAGCCAGTCATTTAGTCCACTTGCGACGAGTTCCGAAGGACCATGGTGAAATGGCAACGTTGACAAAAAACCACAAAAAAACCGCAAAAAACATTTTGAGCCGAAATTCGATTTTTTTGCCGAAAAGGTAAAAAAGACCGTTCCATAGTTGCAGAAGTATAATATCTTCAACATGAAGGTGTCACGTAATGTATCAACGGTGCACCAGAGCGCTCGCGGCAACACCGGAGCTATCGCCGTCACATGCGGCCACATGCGTGCGATGTGTGATAAGTTCCCCGAGGTCATTCAAATGGATATGACTTACAAGATTAAAAAGTAAGTGCATCATGTTAATTGTGATCTTATGTATTTTCTAGATTTCCCCCAAAATGATATAGCTTACCGTGTACAATTACCAGCTTATCTCTATGGTTGTAATGGGCCCAACTCCAATTACATAAGTAGGTAGATATTTCTTTAGTTATTACATAAGTAGGTAAAGTGGCACACGGGTAGCGTGTGCCAAGGTGTCATCATCTGATTGGTTGATAGTGAGGAGCCAGACTCACTTATTGACCAATCAGATATAGACATGTGTTTGAGTGGTTCACACGAGGCCAGGGGTAGCCGCCCTGGTCCTAAATAAATCAGAGTTGAATTTGACACAAACCTAAGACTTGGTTGTATTATTGCGAGCTTCCTCCGCATTACAGTGTAAGCTAGTAACGGTATCTCTTACCCCGTTACACCTGGTAGCACTTTGTAGTCCTTCCAACGACCAAGTCTACGATGAGCCAAGTCCAGATCTCCGGGGCGACCCTGGAGCATGCTGCATTCCCCCATCTTACTCGCGTGGAGTGGGAAGCGCTTCACCGCCTCGTGGCGGTGTCCGGAGACGCTGTCGTCGCATCGCTGCTGAGCTCAGCGACGCCCGACCAGCAACGTCTTGCAGCACAAGAGTTCATGAACGCGAGCTCGCCGATGCGAATCGGCGGGTGTCAACTCCCTCGCGTCCATCCCAGAATGACGTCGTCAAGATGGAGACGTCTACGTATTCTGGCGCCGGTGAAACCGGCTTCCGCTAAATCGGTGGTTCCGCGAGATCGACATCGCTATCGCCTCGCGACGCATCGAGGCGTCATCGGCCAAGATGAACTTCCTCCTCTCCCGGTTAACCGAAAAGGCCAAAGAATGGGCCCTTGGGAAGCTGGTTGTCGACCCCGAGGCTTTCCCGACTCTGGAAACTCTCCAGAGCGACTTGCGCCTCGCGTTCGAGCCCCCGCAAGATGAGTCTCGCGTTCGCGCAGAGTTCTTCGCTCTGCGGCAAGGGCAGATGTCCATGCGTGATTACGTCCAGAAGACGCGACATCTGGCGTCATGCATCGTGACCAAGCCAATCGACATGGCCTCGCAAGTCCACGTATTTGTGTTCGGCATGCGCGAGGGTATGACCCGCTACTGCCTCACCAGAGCTGAGCCCTCCTCTCTCGAGGAGGCGTTTGCACTCGCGATTCGCGAGGATTACATGGTCGCTGCATCGTACGCCGCAGCCATACCTGCGGAAGCCCGAGAGTCTACCCCCGAGCCCATGGAGATCGACGCCATCAACGCGTCGAGCAATCGACGTCGCGGGTCCTACCGCGGCAGCGCTGGGCGAAGCAATCGCCCCCTCATTTGCTTCCGCTGTGGGAAGAAGGGTCATCGCGCGGCGGAGTGCCGCGCGCCAGCTCCCGTCGTCTCTCACGTCGACGCGGAACACTCCTCGGTCGCTCATTCAAAAAACGACCAGGACCAGTAGGTGCGGGGCGCCCTACTGGCTTTAACGAAGGACCGGGCCCTCCGGTGGCAGCCCAAACTTCGAGCCCTCCCGTGCTCCAAGTACACACCAATGCCACCACTACGCCGGGCGACTCGAGACTGATCATTGTCAGCCTCCACGTCACCGGTGCCCGGCGACCACTGCGCGCGCTCCTTGACTCAGGAGCGACCAACAACTTCTTTCGCGCATCGTGTTTGTCGGTACTTCCCAAGAACGTCCGCGTCCGGAATGGTCCGGGCGAGATCCAAGTCCAACTCGCAGATGGTAAGGCTCGCCGCGTTGCGCGGCGTGACGTGTCTTTGTCGT